CCAGTGCCCAGTCGGGAACGTAGTCCTGGGGCTCCAAGAGAAGGCACTGCAGCCCCGGAGCTGGATCCAGAAGCAGGTCCAGCTCCAGAACCTGGATCTGGGTCAGGGAGAAGGGCGTAGGTGGGCTCTGGAGGGAGGAAAGCCAGTTTGGCTGCAATGCGGCTGGGGCAAGGGGGGCAGCAGAACAGGCAGCATAGCTCTCGTATGGACAGACCGTTCATCTTCTGGTAGAAAAATAAACATGGTAGACGGAGTAATTAGGTGGCAGCAACACAGAATAAACAGCATGCCAGAAGCAAACCCTTTCACCTCTGATTCACAGCAGGGTTTCCCTCAGTTTGTTTTACATAGGAGGCGCCTCACCTTGCTAAAATAAAGATCACCTCAACTGTCTTCTGAATAAAAGGTTTTACGAAATATAATATTATGCTTATTAAGCTTCTACGTCACACAGCAAAGGACACATATTTCATTAATGAGGTGAATGTTTCAATCATAATCTCAGGTAACTCAATTGATCACAAGATGTGATGCGTCTGCAGGTTGAGCAGGTGACTCGTTGCTTTATCACATCCTAAGTTTGCTTTGCAGTTAATAATCAGAGGAGAATATTGCAAAGTCAGTACATCGTCTTTACAAGTAAGGAAATGTAGAGGTAAACAGCGGTTGCCACATCGCCTAAACGACTTCCTGGGGGAAACCCTGCACAGATATCCTGTTATGAACGTACCTGGATTCAGAAATCCCTGGGTCTTGAAATGAGCTGGCACACAACAGTGCCAAGGTTTTCTGGTCTAGTCACTTAGCCAGCTGGGTCTTGATTAAAAAAAAAGAAATGAATACACATTAAAATGGCTTGACATCATGTGGCAAAACACTGTACATGAGGACGTATAGTCAAAGGGCATGACCACTCAGCTGGCCTGGTCTGTTAATGAAAGCTCTTATATGATGATACAAAGTGACATGATGAATATTAAGAAGCCCAGGCTTTATAAGTTACAGCTCTTGGAGCCAAATCAAATTACACAAACAATGGACGAAGGGTAAACAGTCACCTGGCATCACAGCTATGAGGAAGAGATAAAGGACTGCATACAGGAGTTCAAACGTCAGTTGTTATTGTCTTCATTTTACAGCCTGCTCATTGTGGCACAAAGTTGCAAGCCTTTCTGCACGTTACTGAGGCTGCTAAAACCTCACCGTGGGATTAAAGTGATTCAAACGGACATTGTTGACTAATTACAACACCCCCTCAACACAGAGCCAGGGCGACAGGGAGCGACTGATGTGCTAACGGTAGCTACATGGTTAACAACGATATTAACCTCTAACGTTAGCCAGTGATGTGGGCACATCCCGGGAGCTGTACGGTGACACGGGCATTCATGCAGCTGGAAGGGGAGATAAGCGACCTGTTACCGCCGTTATTAGACACCACCCGCTGAACAGCTCAACGCCAGCTATCGGGCACAATACCATCACTTATCGTTAGCGGGGCGACCAGCTAGCGGCGGCGGCTAGCTCGCTACCTCGCTAGCCTCAAAGCTAGCTACTTACCGATTCACAGTATGTTGTCAGGCAGGCTGGTGTGTCCCGATATGTACACAGAAGCAGCACACGACTCCGAATGTCCTGCTTGTGTCTTGACATGGATGGTTTCCCTCAAGTGTACTGACAGATGTCGGTGGCTAGCTAGCTGAGATTCATGGCAACCAGATTTTTTTTTTTTTTTCTACTACTGTCCGACTAAACCCGGAAGTGACGTAAGGGTCTATTCCATTTCAAAACTTTATTACAATGTGTCCGGATATTATTGATTTATCAGCGCGTTTATATCGCACACATCGGGTACAAATAGTGGGGGACATATTTACTGGGTTGTGTGTAATGTACACAATCTGAAGCCAGACAGTTTTGTTTCCTTAAAGGTTATTATAGCTGATGGTGTAACAGTTATAGCGGGTTTTCTGATGGCTTTATTTGTTATTCTGACATAAAACATCATATTATAGGATGCAATATGACGCAGAATAACAAAAAAATATATATATCTTGTTTGTCTTTTATATCCACTTCAATTTAAATGTTTAAAACCTTATCTAGTGGTATATTCACTTTGTTTATTAAATAATCTAATACTCCATTATAGGTAAAGGTCCTGCATTCCAAACCTTACTTAAGTATTATCAGTAAAATGTATTTGTATCAAACGTAAATGCCCTCATTATGCAGCAGAACGGCCCTTTCTCGTGTAATATTACTAAAGATTAAATTATTTGATTAATACTACTGTTATAAACAGTATTTAATGGTAGGCTATAGTTGGTCCACTGGGAGTTTCTTTTAATTACTCCATATACTGCTGGCAGAATTTCTACAATAGCACTTAATAATAATGCATCATATTTTAGAAACGTCGAGATATATTAAAGCAAAATCTATCTTTATGTGACTATAACTGTGCAATTAATATAGTGAAGTAAAAAGTACAATATTTCCCCCTGAATTATAGTGGTGAACGAGTAGAAGCAGAAAAGTAATTATCATAAAAAAGGGGAATAAATAGAAGCCATTCTTAAAATTAATAAACTGATATTCCCTGGAGTGCACAAAAAACATGAAAATAAATCTGAACGGAGAATAACCCTTTATATTTTGCACATAGTTTCCAGGATGCACCTACTCCAGTAGTTTTTAAAGTACTGGTGACAATATTAATGCTCCGGACCTCTTTCTATTCTATCTTTTAACCTAATAACTTATCTTTGTTTTCTTTTTTTAAGATGATAATGCATTTTCTGACCGCTGGGCTATTGGTGATTAAAGTTTTTTTTATATATAAATTATTTATTNNAAGATGTTGCCTGTAGGGTATTACTCCCTTATGCAGCTTTATGTTTAAGGCCTTTTAACTCACTACTCTCCCGTACATCATCAAACACGTATTTCAATGATGGCTTTACACAGAAGGTTAGTTTGTGTGTGTGTGTGTGAGAGAGAGACGAGAGAGGAGAGACAGAGAGAGAGAGAGACAGAGAGAGAAGAGAGAGAGAGAGAGCAGAACAGAGAGAGAGGTCCTCCATTCATCATTGATCCACTGCAGGACTGTGTTTCAGGGGGTGTGAATTATGGGCCCCTGCTGTCACTGTGACTGCTCTGCGTTGGACATTTCACCTCGCCACTGTAAATTTAAAAAGGGGATTACATTTTGCTGACTACTGATTTCAAAGCCGTATAGCTTGACCAAGTGCAGACAACTGGCCGGTCCCCACTGACAGAAGACTTAATACAGTCCGCAATTGCAGGATTTGGGATTTTGCAAGGGTCTGAACAAGGCTACCGGGAAAGGAAAAAAAACGTACCCTGGATCCCAGAAAACCTCAATAGGTTGCCGTTCACATATTTAGACCACGGACTAGTTCTCTCCAGGGCAAATTTAAAAAAAAAAAAAAAAAAAACGTTTTGTAGTTGACTGGGCGTTTTGGACGCGCTCGGTAAACGGTGATGCTACGGCGACGCGCAGGAACCGTAGAGGGAAGAGACAGGTGAGGTGCGGCTGAGGAGCTGCTGTTATTTCAGAGAGGCTTTGGATACCGAGAGCCGTGGTATCCATCACCCCTTTCTCCACAGAGAGGAAGAAGAGCGACCGGAGAGGGCGAGTTGGCGACTGGCACCTGCCTCCTCCGCCTCCCTACCTGGCCATCTGGTGCGGTGAGTGTGCCAAATGGTGGGATTGAGAGATGGATATGTGTGAGGGAGACGGGGGGTAGGATGGGATGAACAGGTATATACAGCATGTGCGCAATTTTATTCCGGCCACCAAACGCGATGCTGCATTATTACTCCTCCGGGTGAGCCTAAAGATGTCTGTTTGGCATCGCCTGGACCCGTGTGGACTGCTCTTTGTGTCTGCTGCAAGTTTCATGTTTTTTTTATTTGCATATCATGTGCTTATCTTTGTTGCATATCATTGCTCTTTCACGTGTTGCATAGGCTCTTATCAGTGCTTATTTTCTCTCAGGTATAGATTTGAAGTGATGTCTCAGCAAAAAGAGCTCACAATACTTGCACATTATAACACTGCATTGCAAGGACGAGCACAAAGCCTGATTGAAATTCTTATTTAGATCACGACCCGGATCATAGGTCGTGATTTAAATGAGGCTTATTGCTTTTAAGTGTTAGGTTTAATTGTGTAAATTCATATTCATTCATATTGTTTTATTAAATGGTTGCTTAAGGTTTCCTGTTAGAGTAAAGGTCACATGTGATGATTTGGAGCCCATAAAGTCAATTGATTATGTTATTACTCACTCACAGTGGAGAAACAGGAGTGGCATTATGGATGCACTGAGCACAGTGCTGTATATTTATGGTATTTTAATTTCAAATGGTTATTAGTGATTTAGGTGTAAATGCCCAATTATTTGTCTGTCTCTTAGCACTTTATACTTTTATTTGGCTGTTGTCAATAGAGACCCAAAGACGACCTGGAGAATGCTCGAGTCAAACTCTAAAATATGTCCTTTGTCCAAAATTTGTCTTGCACACAATAACTTGTCACCTAAACAGTGCACACTCACAACCTGCATGGCCCATGTTAAATGCTCACTCACTGCTGTCCCAAGTGATTTAGTAGTTATATGTAATTTATTGTTTACAACTTTCAATCCTTCACACTAAAAGCTATCGAGTTTCACAGAAGGACTATAACAGCTCCCAGCTGCTGCTGTTTATGTTTGTGTTTCTGTGTGAGTTGAAAGGCAAAAAGAGATGGAGACAAAAAAAATAGAAGGAGGAGGAGGGGAGAAGGAGAGAGAATCACAGACAGACAGATTGCTGATACAAAGACTAAAGTGTGGCAGCAATCTGGCATATACAGTAGGCTACAGGGGGGATAGGCAGAGGATGTAAAAGGCAGAAAAAGAAATTATGGAGTACAGAGCTTGCAGAGTGATCGAGCGTTGTGGGAGAGGGGCTGCAGACAGCAGTCTGAGCGGGTGTGAATGGTCTCCCTGTTATCCCTGCTGCCCACACAGACAGCCACACAGCAGCCGTGTGAGCAGGTGCTAACCCCACCACACAGCAACCGCAGGGAACAACAGGTGCAGCCACTGTTTCCTTCAGCCTTCTTCCTTCGGAAGGCAGTCTAACACCCGCCCATCCCGAATATACAGCAATCCCAAAGCCTTCTCACAGTCAAAACACCCACAGCCAATACTGAAGGGAACCGAATGGATACTTCAAACTACATTTTGGGAAAATAGCACGCAAAGGCCAGGCTTGAGTAATTCAATTAGAAAATGAATTATGCCGCAAACAAAGTTGGTAACCACTTGAAGCAAAAAGGGCAGAGCAGGCTGCAGGTAAAAGCAATCTAAGAGAGCCTCGGGGGGAGACAACTGCCCACAGGGACATTTAATGAGCTCTATTGATCACATAGGACCCTATTCAATCACACATGCTAAGCTGCGAACAGGGCATCTCAAGCACGGGAAAAAAAATTAGGGCCTAGATTGGATTGCAGCATAAAGCAGCTTACCCACAAAGAGAGTAATGACGGCAGATTAGTTTGTTGGGGTTGCTAAGGAGCACGTTTCTAGAAATGTGTAGAATGACTGTCTGAGATCTCGTGTTTGTGTGTGTATCTTTGTGTGTGTTAAATAGAGTGAGGAGAAACAGACAGAAGATGTTGGAAGGAGAGACATGTTACCTAACAGCTTCTCTGTTCCTATCGCCAAGAGATCACGTCAAGCATTCGGCGACAAATTGCCTCTCTTTACCTCTGGTACACAGAGAGGGACATTGAGTGACTCAAACACTCCTGGGCTCACTCAACCTTCAGTTTTCTGTTTCTACTTTATATCAGATAATAGGGTTGATTTGCGTCTTTCACATAGAACATAGGTTTTGAAGCTACCAAAAGATTTTTTTTAATAACTTGTTTTTCTTAAAATTTCTGTCACCCGCTCTAACCGATAATCACTGTAGATTTCCTCTTTTTAACACAGTCTGGAGGTACCTCCCACTCACTGTTCTGCTTATATACGAAGGAATGTTAATGTACGCTCTTATGGTGTTTAGATGAACTTTGAGTAACTTTCAAACTTCCTGTATCAACTCCCAATAGCCCCAAAGTAACCACTGCGCTCTGCAACAGAAAGTAGACAGGATTATACTCTAATCAGATCATGCAATGATGCTTAGTTATGATTATTGCCAGGAGATTTGAAAGAATGTTTATTTTCCTCAAAAGCAGCCCGTTATGGTATATTTTTGAAGTTCCAGTTTCACGCCTAGTGCAGTGTTTATCCAGCAGTAGGGTTTGGTGAGTTTCTTTAGAACAAAATCAGCACTTGAAAAGGGTGTTGAAGTCCGCCGACCTCAGGGCAATGAGATCAGAAGGAATCTGGCCGAGCAGGCATCTGCTGGGTGACCCATTCCAGCAGGGCCCTCAGTGTGGGCCTCAGGGAGTCATTGTGCAGGATTATGAGGGCCAGAGGGTCAGGAGTCACGCAGGCATACTTTCTTTGCTTGTCAGAAACTAGTTCTTACTCTAAGACTGGTATTTAAAATAAACTCTTCTATGCAAAACATTCTGTGTTCATGTGAGAGGCTTTCAGGAGCCTAACTGGGCTTTTTAGACAAGTCCTTCCAGATGTTGAAAAGGAAAGGAGCAAGATAATGGGTATCACTAAGCCGAGTAGCTTTACCTGCCAAACTCAGCTGTAAATTGTCCACGGTGTCATAAACTGCA